AGCAATAGTCAAGAGACTTAAAACTTATCTGGTAGATTTAAAGTACATCTCTCTAGGCATTGTTTCCACTAAGGGCCTGTTTCAGAGCTCTACCAGGTCATGGAATTACAGTCACTGGTGCAAGAAGCCCACATGACTGATCACAAGAGCAAAAACATGACCATTTATTTCTGTAGTAAATGTCTCCTGGGTTTACTAGATGTTACTTTAACGGTCCAAGGATGAGCATAATCAAATAAATAAATAAACATATATAATATATAAATAATATAAAAATCTATAACTAAATGCAACCAATGAATAAATAAGCTGGCCTTCATCACAATAAATGACGTAGTTGCATCTGGCAAGTTGTATTTGGAATGGAAAGTTATGACAAAAACCTGTCAAAAAACACACACACACACAGGGCCTGCAAAATCCCATAGTAAGACTCACCAGAGTGATGGTAAACTTGCACACTCTTTAGAGAGTCAGAGCTCCTGGGTGGCCCTTAGGTCACATGTTTAATGTACCTCTGCATTCCTGAGAACATCAAACAGCCTGTAGACTCCTAGGGAGTGTGTGTGACATGCACTGGTAATATAGTTTTATATAATTTGTTTACAAATAGCATATTAGTTTACCAACTCTGTGAAATGCTTATAGAACTTATTTTATCTTTACATTTGCCAATAATATTGAAAATATATGAAACATATTGCTTTTATTTATTTACATTTTATTTTATTTTAAATAATTTAAATTTTATTTTATTTTTTAAATATTATTGTTCAATTGTATTTGTCTCTTTTAGGATAATATTTCTATAAATACATTTATTTAATGTTGTTGTATGAATAATAACAAACAAACACACTTTGTTAAAGCATACAAGTAATCAGACAGCTCGTTCTCATATACATGACACCAGCTCAGAAGCACCTGCAGGTCCTTGAATTGTTTGATTTACTTACTTTTTCTAATATAAAATAAATATAACAATTTGTTCTGTGTAGTATTTCTGCATTGCAGTATCTTTTTTTTCCCCAATATTATAATATATTCTTGGTTTATTAAATTCTTTGGTTCTGCAAAACACTGCACATTCGAGTTTAAGCGAAACAGTTCACACACAAAATGGATACAAATAAAAAGAACTTTAAGATCAATAAAGTTTTGAGCTGCAATTGATATCTTCATATTCATTTGAAACTGTCATAGGACATGAAATTCATAATTTCTTTTTAAATCTAACATTAAAAGAGAGTGATTTCCGTTACAAGCCGGTCCCCCCTTTTGACACGTGTGTTTCATTAAACCATAATTATAAGTATAGATTCAAGATGGACTTTACTATAGAAACCACATCATAACAAAACATTTCATTGAAATCACTAATCATCCACATGGGCCATTGGTCTTATCTGAACTCTTATCTTTATTTAAACATTTGAAAACCGTGTTGAAACTTGCATGCTTGTTTTAATGAAGAGATTTTACTAAGATCCCCAAACCATTTGTTTTGAAGGGGAACAAGAGGGGAACAAACCCCCCCCCCCCCCCAAAACCAACTCCCCCCCAAACACATATTTTTTTTACAGGTGAATATTTGGACTCTCCAATGCATATCTGTTTTGTTTAGAAAATGCGCTGCTTAATAAAGCAGCCTAACCTTGTTATGTCCAAATATACGCACAGTGACCAACCCATAGCATCTGCATCCAAAACCTTCTATCTCTGTAGCGCTTGATACTAGCAAGAAAGCACGCTCTGCATGCAAATCAAACAGGAACCTTTCTACATGGCAGCTAGGATCTCGCCTCGGGCATCGCGGATATCAGAGAGATCTTGACCAGCTGAACTCTACGTCTCTGGGTCGCTGCAAATGAGCCAGTCACCATCGCGAAATAACCGAGCCTGAGCTATCGAGCAGCACTGCAGACGAGTGCTGCACTACGGCACGGTTAGACGCATCGCTCCCTGCTCGCGTGTCTCGCATCTCTGCCAGATTGACACGCTGCTCGACATAACGACAACCCAGCGGGGTGGTAAACTGAAACAGCACAGCAAAGCGCAAGATGGGATGATTTGTGCTATGAGACACGGGCTGCCCACCTAAACAGCATTTAGGGGTCTATTATGGCCAGAAATGCTGTCAAGGTGGCAAGCATAGCTACTATAAAAACAACCAAGGTCTGCAATGAAGGATGTAGTCCAATCTAGAACACTGAATTATTACTAGAAGAACAGCACATAATAAGAAGAACTGCCTCAAATGCTCAACAAAAAATCAAAAGGGTGGTTTTAAGGGATGGTGGGTGGGATCTATAGAGGTGTGCTGCATTTTCCAAAGGTAAACAAGAGAAAAGTTGAATAATGGAGCTGACAGATATGGAATGTATTATCTCACATCACTTACCTCAGTCTCTGGGGGCCCCTATTTTTTCCTAGGCAATGCAGAGGTGATGAGGCCTTCAAGGAAATCCAGCACAGGGAGGAAGCCGCAACCAGCTGCAACGGCGGTAGAGGCACTCCTCACTCCCCTACACACACACACTCAGCCTCAGAGGCTGCGATACTGTTGTTATTGAGGTTTGTGGAAGGGGATGGCAGAAGGCTCTCATAACAAGCGCTATACTGTGAGCCTGAACACACCCCCTCCCACAGAGCTCATCCAATGGCAGTCAGAGGGTCTCACACACACACACACACACACACACACACACAGCCTTATCAGCCAACACCCCCCATCCAGCTTCCCCATCACATTCAAATGCTTTAGGATTAAAGTACAGCTGACCGATAAAAGATTCAACTATTGTTTAACCACTTTGCCTATGCTGTTTGAGCTCTGCCCCAAGAGCTGACATCATCTGTGTGTGTGTGATCCAGCTGGTGTGTATTGTGTCACTGACACTGAGGTAGGTTTAGTATGGTAAAGTGATTTAAAAAACAGCACACAGCTCAGCTGGGGCTGAAAAGAGTGCAGGACATGCCTCTCATTCTTTGAGCGCGCTGGTCTATTTCTCCACATTTCCAGACTCAAAAGCTTCTTCCCAGGGCTGTTTTTCCTCCGACAGTGACTGCGTTCTTGAAGGATTCATGGTTAACACTGTAGGGGAATAAAAAAAGAGGTGCATTTCCTCAGGTTTCTACCTACATTCTGATATAAGTATAGTAATACAAGAGTTGATATTTGGCTTATGGGGGAGACCAGGCTTGTCCAATCTAGTGAATATTTATTGCATGATGCATACATGTTTTGAGGTGGTTTCTGTTTGTAAATTGAAATGGATTAAAAACAAATAAATACAGTAAAGTCATAAAAGGTAACATACAAAAAAAACAAACCATTGTTTTGGCCAAACAAATAATATAAATAATAGAATGTATTATTTTATTAAAATAATATTATATAGCATTATAATAATTATAGTCATAATTTTAAATGAATTCATGCCATTTAATTGTTTGCACAAAAATACAAGATGTTAAACACATGTGACTACTTGCCTCAACTGCAAATATTGTTGTCCTAAAAACACAGTTCAACCACAATTGACATTTGCCTGAATGCATTGTGTGGTTTCTGATATATAGCCAACTAGCCTCAGTCTCCTCTACATAAAAGGTGCATTCACACACACTCACAAAAGAAAATAATTTTCTAAGTAAGCGGATACAAATGATCAGCAGATGCTGAGATGATTTGAGTGGTTTGAGATCAGCCTCCTCAAGCACATCTGCAGATTAGATGTCTCTGTATAATATGTACATGGGCAGGTGAAATTACATTCCACTGCAGTGACAGCTGTCCAGTTGTGTAATCTGCTACACTCCATACAGCACTATTCACAGCCTTTTCTTTTATCATTGTTATGCATACAGTAGTTCGACCTCTTATATTAAACTTTAATTTTAATTTGTTACACTTTCCAAAGTATTTCATATACATTTTAAAATGCAATCTTAATATTGGAAAAAAAAAAAAAAGTTGATTGGAAAAAAAGCTGAGTATTATTTGGAAATATGTAGGCTATATTACCCAGAACTAGGACTGTCTTGAATATGAGAGAAAGAAATAAAGTAGATATAGATCAGGGGTGTCCAAACTCGGTCTGGAGGGCCACTGTCCTGCAGAGTTTAGCTTCTACTTGCCTCAGTACACCTGCCTGGAAGTTTCTAGTATGCCTAGTAAGACCTTGATTAGCTGATTCAGGTGTGTTTAAATGGAGTTGGAGCTGAACTCTGCAGAACAGTGGCCCTCCAGGAGCAGGACTAGACACCCCCGATGTTGATGGTTGGTGATTGAACATCCCATTGCTCATGCACTGTTCTTGATGTCCATCTACTGGTGAAAGGTAAGAAATACTTTTTGTACATTTAATAATAATAATAACAGCTATAGGCCTATAAAACAAGTATTTTTTGTAATATTTATTTATTATTTATTTACGTATTATTTTAGAATAAAAAAGCAAGCTGGAATTTATTATTTGTTATGTGTTGGCTAAGAGTTATGTTGCAGTTTCTTGCACTAACGTTTGTAAATGTGACATTACAAATAACTGTGTCCTAAACAACATCAAATTCCTCGTTCTCGTCCTGCGTCATTTTAAGTCAGCAATATTTTGAGATAACTTTAAAGACAATTTTAAAGACATGCCGTTGATGTTTTTTTTTTTTTTTTTTTTTAAAGCACTTTAAAATATTTTAACCAAAGAATCGAGTTATTTATAAGAAAATGACCACCTACGCTCCCACTTGTACCGTCGTCCAGACAGTTTCCTGTGAAACTCTTATTTTACACTGATCCAGATTCAGCCTTCTATTCTATTCACAAAACCAAACCGTAAGGCGGTTACAATCGACAATCACATTACTGATCTCAGATCGGTTTAAAATGCCTGCAAAATTATATGTACTTTTATTCATGGTTTTGAAAAAAAAAAAAAACATTTTCGTAAACAAAAATACGTATTTATTATACAATTCGCGGCAGTGCTCTTTCTTTTATTTCACACAATTTATTCGACCATCTCCTTTTGTTCAGGCATTAGCGGAGGGGTCTCAGTCGTGGAAAAAGCGCCAAGTTCTACAGCTGAAGACGCGGTTGTCAACTTTGTGTATATTCAAAACGAAACTGCGTACTTGGGATTGTATTTTGCGAAAATGTAACGTGTGCATAATAAGATTCCTTAGGTAAGACCATTAAATGTAGTGCTATTTTTTATTACGTAACTCTGAAGTAACGTTACTCTTGCTGAAAATGAACGTGCATGTTGTGTGGGCTGGGCGGCTAACAGTTACTCAGTTAGCCGCACTGCTATATACGTGTCTTCATGCATATGAATTAAAAATGATCAAACTAAGAGTCTCGAGATCATATGACGCAAATATTTAACATCATTCGATTATATATAAATAAAAAATTGATAGCTAAAGTCATATTCTTAGCAGAAAACGCTTCTATTACTTTCTAGGGCACATCAGAGCTAAGGCTTTCCCGCGGTTCGTGGCTGATCGTGAATGATTTGATTGAGTTTGTTTCGTTTTTTGACATTTGCTTTGGTTTCTCTTTCATCTTCTGTAGTGAATAGTTAAAATGCCTGGACTGCATAGTGAAGGTGGAGTGGTGGCTGCAGTTGGCAGTCATGTGAAGAAGAGGAAACTCTCTCTAAAGTTCTTTCAGAAGAAGGACACCAAACGAGCCCTGGACTTCTCAGAGGCCCCGGCAGAAGACAACGGCACTGCAGAACCAGAAGAGACTACTAAGTATGGAATGTTGTTATTAGGCTATTTAATACAGATTGTATTTGAAAATACCATATAAACTTTTCCTAATTGTTCTCTCTCAAGTCATGACCAGGTTGTGCCAATGCCTTGCCCTTCATCTCCTCTCACTTGTGAGAAGCGTGAGAGCCTGGTCCCCTTCGTTGGGCTTAATAATTTGGGGAACACTTGCTATCTGAACAGCATCCTTCAGGTATACTGTTCATCTTACCCACTAATCATGTATTATTCATGACACTGGCAGGACACCACAGGTGAATAGGTTGAAATTTTAGCTACTATAAAAATCATAATGATTTAAT